AACGTTGCATCCTTTGTAGGTGGCCACAAACAGATTCTCCCTCCTTCATCTTGCATTCCATGAGGGACTTGACCACTTATTATTTTTCTTAACGAGCTCACTTATGGTACTTTTCCATGAGGTCCTTGTTCATCTCGTAGGGCTAGTAATCCTATAAAATCCTTGCAACTCAGGGTCATGGTGGCTACCATGATACAAGCAACTTTTTTTGCATCATCATAGTGCTTCTTATAGGAGGCTAATTCTTCAGGAGTGGGATTCTCTTTGTAAAACTCACTAAGTTCCCTTTCGAGAACATATTCTTTGTTCTCAAATCAAAGGGCCATTTTGATATTTCGTATCCAATCATAGTAATTGGAACCATACAATACGAATTTGGAGCAGATGGAAAGGAAAGAGAAGTTATGGTCATTTGGAGGAGGAGGAACCAGAAGCATCAATTAGAGTAGGCATCTTTTAGTTAGATAAGAACAATCCTTTATATAATAACCCAAAATAAAATATTAAGGCTAGGATCCAACTATATAATTCACAACTTAGAAAATGGATGTCGTAATCTAATTGTAAATTTTATAAAGGTAGGTACATAACGATTTACCAATTCCACCAAAAGAAAACGAAATTTGAAAGAAATTAAAGTAAGTGAAATTCATAGAGCTTTTGAGATTCATTGAAACTATTCAATGACATGTTTAATGTCATATTATGCTCTTCTATTTGTGATTGTGATGCCGATGATCACAAACAAGATGTGAATAATCATGCAAATGTGCTTGGTAACCTCAATGTTGTTTATCATCTCAATTGATGTGATGGTAAACCACACACGCTCCATCAACAATAATAATTTACGAGATACCCATTACAACTCTTTATTAGTCTCAATTAGTGTGTTGGTTGACCACACACGCTCCACTAACGATTTATAAAGTATAATGTGCAACTTCATGTGTTAGCATACAAATTCATATATTTTTTTTAAAGTAACTAAGATTGAGATTTTTAATAAAAAGTTTAGTAACTTTTAAAAGCATTATAATTTTAATGAGAATTAATTTTTTTTTTTTGTCATATAAATCCGTTTAGCTAACGAACCTCCACAAACAAGGAAGTGGTGGGTGAGAATGAACGCTTATTCAATTATCATTTTATAGGCAGTTTTCTTATACCCTCTTATAAACTAGCTTTGTTAATGAAGCGCACAAACGATTTGATTGACTTAGTCTTATACATATAATAAGAATTAAGCTTTTAATTTTGCATATAATATAAGGTGTATTTTAAACTTTTCAAAATATTAGGGTTTATGTTTTAAAATTTGAAATTAATATTCAATTAATTAAATTTAAAATAACTTAATAATAAATTAATTATTAACAATTAAATAAATTAAATGACTAATGAATAAAATTTCCAGTAGTACCCAATTAATCCATTTGTGTATATAATTTCCATGGGTGAACAACTGAACATGCTTTCCTCTATAGATCTTCTGATAAATCATTTGTGCCATCTCTCAACTACAACCACTTGTCAAGACCATTATTTAGTTTAAGTTGATTGAGTATATTACGACAACTATGTAATTCCAGCGTCTCCACAAGTTTTAAGAATATCACATCAACTTTGCATGGATTTGATGATTCCAAAGCATAGAGTGTAGAAAATCTATAGTTTACAAAAGTTCCTCTAGTTGACAAAATTACAAAGATCATACTACTTATTACAAAATTTACCAATCAAGTATCTGAACATGCTAAATTCAACAAAAGGTTTTATCCTATTTTATTATAAGAAAAATCTTTAAAAAGTTCAATATATTTTCATTAAATTTAAAAAAAATCATTATATTATTCTTTTTAATACGTAAAAAACTCTTATATTTTTTAAACTGTTTAATTTAAAATTTTGATTTTGAGATCGGCAAATTCTAGATATCCACAAATGATAGATAACCGGTTTTCAAATCTTTTGCTTGTTACAATCCATTAAATAATAAAAACCCCAAAAAGTATAAGGGGTTTAATATATTAGAAGCATAATCTAGTGATTTTTTCAAAATTTTGGATTAAAATAGATTGTATTGTTTCAGGCTATAAAGTGTTAAATAAGACTTTCACACAATATAACGTTTTAATATATTCAAAAATAATATAATAATTTTTTTTATAAATAAACTTAGATAAAAATATGTTAGAATGTTTATGAAGCTTGGTTTTTATTATAAGCTAATAGTACTATGTAAGAGCTATATCTAAATAGACCCAAAGTTTTCCACCCACATAAATCAGTTAGGTAGATGGGTATTTGTTTATTCAATTTATATATATTAACGACGAATCAAGGTATTTATGTATATAATAGTTTTTCTTTATACATAAATTACTTTTATAGAATTATAAAATATAACATTTTAAAACACAATTTATGTAATAAAAATATTATTATGTATAAATTAACTCATATATTTAAATATTCATTGGTTTGTTTATTACATACCAACCAAGATAAATACTCAATAATTCTAACATTTTGAGACCAAATGCTTGGCTAATAATTGAAGTTTATAAAACAAATTAAATCAAATATAAAAAAGGGCATATTACACGAATCGTCCATCGTGTATGTGTTAAAAAAACACGTTTTGGTCTTTATTTTTAAAAATTAACTCATACTGTCCCCCATTTGTTTTAAACTTGCACGTTTCATCTCTATTGAACAAAAGTGACTATTTTACCCTTATTATTTTTTTTTCATTTTAATTTATTTCTTTTATCATTTTTAGATAAAAAAAATTAAATAAATAGCTCCTTCCATTTTCCTAGCTCATACCTTCGTCCCCTCTTTCTTACGCACTCCTGTCACCAGGCGCCCCGATCATCACTATCGTTTCGAAGCCTTCAAATTTGAAACAAGATTCAAACAAAGCCACCATCTTCTCTATAGATTACCCACCTTATAAAACCACGTGTTCATCATCATCGCTTCGCCACCGTCAATGTTGCCTTATTCTCGATTTTTCTCTCTCCTTACGTACCCACCTCTCTCATCTTTTTTCTCTTTCAAGCATTTTCTTGTCGTTTGTGTGTGAGATCGACGTTGTGTGTGCGAATATGTTGAGGTTACCACCACTATGTTATTCCTTATTTTGGATTCGGGTATTTATTTGGTGACTAGCTTAAAATTTTGTATTACGATTTCCTTTTCTGATCTAAGTTTATGCAGTAAGCTTAGGTTTTGGTTTCAATTTTTGGATATTCATTTTCATATTCATTTTGGTTTTAGATGGTATCATTTGATTTGTTGTGGTAGGGGTTGTCAGATAAAAGGTAGTGTCTGGTGATTGTCGGTGATGGTGGAGATTTCCAATGGTGGTGGTGGTTTAGTGTTCAACAAAAGAGAGAAAAAGATATATATATATATATATATATATATATATATATATAGAGAGAGAGAGAGAGAGAGAGAGAGAGGTGGGTAGGGAGAGAGAAAAATTATTTCTAAATGATTAATTTTTTTAATAATTAGTAATAGTAAAAAATGTTAAAAATAAATGAAAAAAAATTGAAAATGACATTATAATCATTTAATGTCTCACAATGAATGAAACGTGCAAATGCAAACTAATGGAAGATGAAGCGTGTAACTTTTTACCATGTAAAGGACACTCTGAATTAATTTTTAAAATAGAGAATAAGTGTGCTTTTTGATACATGCATAATAGACGATTCGTGTAATTTAATATCTTTAATGTTTTTTTAGTGTCTGAAAAATTTCATTAGAAAATGAAAAACACTACTAAAAAGCTACAAATGCAACCTACAAAATGTTTGTATTTTTTTTTTTTTTTTTATCTTAGTTCAAGCTTAGATGTTCTTTTAGTTTTGAGTAATCTCTTTCTAGAAAAGAATTGAATCCTCACTCATCACCTATTCTTTTCCTCTAAATGTGCTTTGATCAAAGGCGACAATAGATTGATTTAAACCTTTTCAGTAACTATAGTGGTTTCTTTCATTTCTTTTCTTTCTTTCCTAGAGCTATTGGATCATTTGAGTACATTTAAATAAGAAAGACTAGGACTTACTAGCTTCCTTTCCTCCTAACCAACTTGCTACAATATCTATGTAATTGAGTTGGTTTTATGTAAGCAGGGGTAGGGATGACCTATGTAAGTAAGGGTAGGGATGGCGCTCATATCTAATAACTTTCCAGTAGAGGCATTCATCCATGTCTTGGTTGTATTATTAATCCTGAAAAGCTAATCTAGTCTCCTCCCCTTTGCCTTTAGGATATATTTGTTTTTTTTTACTTATAAAGATCTGTCATATATCCCACATTGGTATCATATGATTTTGTAAATGTTTATATATGTTGGAGTATCTCTTCTCTTTATAATGACTCATTTTCAGAATAATTCAGAGATTTCATATATATCTTACATAACATCAGACCTATTATCTACCTCCCAATGATTTAACATATCCATTGTATATCATTATCAAGCCTTCATATCTAACCATAAATGCTAGTGTCTAGTGTATCTCATATTGATGTCATAAAATCCTATAAATGTTTATATTTTGTGAAGTTACTCATTTAACATGTCCATTGTATATCATTATCAAGCCTTCATATCTAACCATAAATGCTAGTGTCTAGTGTATCTCATATTGATGTCATAAAATCCTATAAATGTTTATATTTTGTGAAGTTACTCTCTATATCGACTCTTTTGAAAATAATACCAAATATTATATGATTATTAATAGTAATTCATAAGATTAAATCCTAACATCTTATAATTTATATCAATTTATATTTTTCTTTCATTTCTTAAACATATTCCAATTTTTTTACAAATAAATCATTTGATAAAGAAACAATTACACGTGTTATTGTATTTAATGATGTGGGGAAATATCGGGGGTAGTTTATGTAATTAACCATTATTAAGGTTAAATATTGGACCAGTCCATATGTGTTTACTTGTGTATGGGTGACGATTGCGTGTAGCGTCGCCTCATGTCCCCCTCATACGTGTCATCATCTCTGGCCCCCTTTCTCCTTCATTTTATTTCACACAATCATCATTCTCCATTCTCCATTAACACACATACACACATTTTCACATTACTACTGTGTGTGTTTTCAACAATGCTCATGGATTCCGAAGACGGAGATGCTAACCACGTTGACTCGTCGGAGATTTCGTCAGCGAGTTCAACGGTTTCATCGATATTTAGCAGCAGCGATGTCGACGTTTCCAGCAATCTCTCCATAACCAGCAGCTCCTCCGGCGAGATTTTAGCTGCGGCGGTGGTGCCGCTTACGTTGACGACGGTGGAACATGAAGGTGAAGAAGGAGGAGTAGGTAGGAAGTTGAAGAAGTGCGTTGGGAGGAATAAGGGAGTCGCTTGGGGGTTTAGGTCTGTAATCGGACGGCGGAAGGAGATGGAGGATGCGGTTGCGGTGGTGCCGGGATTCATGTCGCATACGTGCGATCGCGTCGGAGGATGTACGAATCCTGGTTCTGGAACCTCCGTCGAGATCTCTCCGATTCATTTCTTCGGCGTTTACGATGGCCATGGTGGATCACAAGTAAGCTACCTTCTTAAATCCTGTCGTAAATTTTCAGTTTCAGATTCAAATTTTACGAAAAAAATCATACACATTTGGTCAAAATCAAATCGAATTTGTTATTTGTGAATCATTTCATCGTCTTCCTTTCATTTTCATTCATTATCGTAAGATGGAATTGATGTCCATCTCTTGTGTGAATCACTTCATATTAATCGATAAGTTTTTTCTCCACATTGAAGATATTGTTCATCAGACAAGACTTGATTACTACTTATTAATATTTAAAGATAACGAAAATTCCAAAATTTTATATAGTTGACCATAAATTCTTGATATATTTCATGAGCATCAGAGCATTAACTTATTAACTTATTATCCATAGTTTCATACACAATAATTTTTTCTCATGTATAATAATATGTGTTTTTAAAATATTATATAACTAAATATAATTTTATAAAGCATAAATTATTTACCATGTAAAAAACTGTGTTCACGAGTCATTTTTTTTTTTTAATTGACAACACATATAATAGAAAGAAAGATGATTACTACATAACAATCTTTCCTACATACAGAAATTTGTATTTTAAAATATTATATTATATATTTTGTAAATCATAAATTTTATTTATGGATATTTCTAACGAAAACACGTAATCAGAAAAATAAAACGAAAAGGAAAAGTAACTAATAAATTATGCCAGCTTTTATGAATGTAAATACAATATAGTTGATTCTGACTTGCATGACACGTAGCGTGTCGGGAGTGGTTATTGTGAATAGCATTTATCATTTTTCTTTGTCTTTAGCACACGTGTTTGGTGTTTCTCTTCCAAGCGACTTTAATAATTAAAAAAATTAAAATACTTTAGAATATTTTATAAATTGAAAAAGAACACGACTTTCTATTTCACCATTTTACTATTTTAAATTAAATTGAAAACAACAGTTTTGTTTTTCAAAATTCTGAAATTAATTCTTTTTGTATTTTTCACACAATAATTAGTCTCTTTTTCTTCTAATTGTTATATAGTAAGCACAAATTTTATCGTTTGAACAAAAATAATAATAATAATAATAATAATAATACTTTTTGCATGTTGTCATATTTAAAAGACACGAATGTTATTATTATTTTTGTTATCTTTTGAGTTGGAAAGTACGAGAAAAAAACAAGCTGATAATCATACAAAAAAAACTCATATTAATATATTTCAGATTAAACGTTATTTTAATCGGAAAGAACAATAAAGAAATCCTAACGTATCTGCTTTAGAAAAATCTCGAGAAGATTTGGCTTGAGTAAGTCAAATAATTCATAAACACTCATTTGACTTTTAAACCGATAGTTTCTACTTTCTATCTGACACATAACATTATTTATTTGTATTAAAATGGAGTAGATTTGGTTTAGATAGTGATTAATATCTAATTCTTCGACTACTTTTACACCATATTTTCCACCTAAATATTCCACCGATTTTTCCCTCTTTTAACTTATATTATGGATTTTAGTGCATAGTGAAAATGGAGCAAAATAGTACAATAAATAATAAAGTAAAAACAATTTTTTTTTTTTTTTTTTTTTTAATTACCAGGTGGCGAAATTCTGTGCGGAGCGAATGCACGAAGTGATAGCAGAAGAGTGGGATCAAGAAGCAGCTAACGGCCGTAAATGGAAACAAAGATGGGAGTCGGTGATGTCCAGTAGCTTTGAAAGGGCCGACAATGAAGTTTTATCAGAAGCTGCAGCACCTGAAATTGTCGGATCCACCGCAGTTGCGGTGGTGTTATCCGGTTGCCAAATCATCGTATCCAACTGTGGTGATTCCCGAGCAGTGCTTTTCCGTGGCACGGAATCCATCCCTTTAACAGTTGATCAGAAGGTCTCAAAGATTCTCAACTTATGCCAAATCTCAACACTTATTCATTTTCACCTACGATCACAAAAATATTGAGTAAATTACACGAATGGTCCTTATGGTTTGGGGTAATTTGCACGTTTGATTCCTAATTTACTTTTTTAACTCGGAAGGTCCCTACTGTTTGTTTTTTGTTACACGTTTGGTCCATTCTATTTTTTTTTGTTACGCGCTTGGTCCCTGTCTTATCTAAAAAAACTATTATTTGAATATGGAAAAATGATGGGATAAGTAGGATAAAGTGAGGGGAGTGGGGTCGAGAGTGTGTTTATTTAAATAAATTAAAAAATCAGAGGCAAACTAGTCTTTTTAGGTAAGACAGGGATCAAGCGTGTAACAAAAACAAATAATAGGGACCTTCCGAGTTAAAAAAATAAATTAGGGACCAAACGTGCAAACTACCCTAAACCATAGGGACCATTCGTGTAATTTACTCCAAAAATATTTTAATTTTTATGGATATTCTTAAAAAAGTTTAAATAATATCTTGTATTCCATTCCTTCTATAGCCCGATAGAGAAGATGAACTCTTGAGAATCGAAGAACAGGATGGCAAAGTCATAAATTGGAATGGAGCAAGAGTATTTGGAGTCCTTGCCATGTCACGAGCGATTGGTAATCCCACATTTTACTCAATTTTATTTTATGAGTACAAAGTATCAGTATCAGTATCAGTATCAGTAACCATCTCTGTAAATATATCCAGGTGACCGATACTTAAGACCGTGGATAATTCCAGTACCTGAAATAACATTCACAACAAGAACCGATGAAGACGAGTGCTTGATAATAGCAAGTGATGGGCTTTGGGATGCGATGTCAAACACTGAGGTGGGTGAGGTGGCTCGTCGGATTTTGCGGCGGCGGCGGCGGTCTGCCGCTAGTGAAGTACCGGCGGCGCAAATCCTGGCTGACAGCCTGATTGAGATAGCTGTGGGAAGAAATAGTTCAGATAACATATCGGTAATTGTTGTTGATCTTAAATCAAAGAGAAAGCATCATCATATATCATCGTCATGATGATAATACATGAAAAAAAGAACTTGTTAAATGATCTGAACAGATTAAGAGCTTAGATTAAGAGCTTGTATAAAGCTGACTAGTTTTCGAGTTGGTGAACAAGATCATGATACCTAACTTTTACTTGGTTTTGATCCCTTATCTATTCAGACATGCTGAGTATAAGAAACTGTGATGAGTCAGGATGATGATGATGATGATGTTCTTGGTGAACATATGAGCATTTAAGTGTGTTATTTAACATGTGATTATTGGTGCTCGTTGGTTTTGATCAACAAGGTTATTATTAAGTTATTTTGTTATGTAATTTATCGAAGTTTATCAACGTCATATGATTAATGTTCTTGTTTGACCGATCGTCAAATGACATTTGATGCTGGTGTATTGCGTTACAACCGAAATATATTGATTATTGAGCATTTTAGATGTTTATGTAATGTTAAAAATTGGTTGTGAAAAAAAATAATTAATATTTTTATTACTTTGGTTTGATTCTCTAGTACCAGAAACAAAAGGATTCCTCAAAATAATTCGGCGGATAATATTACAATAGGTTTTCAAAACGTAACTATTTGTATTTAATATAAAGTTTCTAAAAGATATAACAAAATAAATAATAAACTAATATAAAAACAAATCCAGTTAAAATGTCCAATTTGGTGAGATCCGGTCCAAGGGAAGTCCAAATAAAGCCTAATCGTATTAAGTCCGGTCAAGGATATGGCCTGACTAATGACTATCCGTCTATCCGGCTGGATAAAACCCAGTTTCGGATTTTTTTTTGGTTACTACTTGGGGTTAGATACGAACAAAAAGGCCAGTATTGAAACAAAAAAAAAAAACCGAGAGTGAACCAATCTAAAATGAGACTGGACTGGCTTGTGACCGTTTTTGAAAAAACAAAAACAGACTGTTTTGTGATTGGTCCCAAAAAGACCGGGCGTTCTAAGATTGACATAAGACGGGTCGAAGGCCGACTTGGAACCAGTCAGAAGCAAAAGTTTATATACATATAAATTTTGTTTTAATTACAAATTTATTAATCACGATTACCTAACTTCTTTCTTTTATTAAATTTTAATGTTTCATTTGATTAGTTCTTAATGTATCATTTTAGTGTGAATCGTATATATTTGTTAACATAAAAAAATCAAAATCGAAACCAAAAAACAAAAAAGAAAAAAATATATATCGAAGCCGAACCTAAAAAGTTTGAAACCGCACTGAAAAAAGTGCTGACAAAGACCGCAAGATCAATTCGAAAAAAGACCAAATCGAAAAAGACCAGTCTGAGAAAACCATATCGTGACCATCTAAAAGAAGTCCGGTCTAAAATCAACAATGTGTATCTCCACATCGAATTAAATTTATGTTTAAAAGTGAATTAAAATCATCTTATGGATTAGTGAGTCATAATTTTATGTACCAAAACATAAATAATAAAATAAGTAGTTAAAAGGCAATTAAATCGACATGTTCAAATATTTTCTATCAACTAACAATACTTAGATGTGTTTAGCGTATATAATTTAAATTAGGGAATATGACTTATAAAGGTAATTAACTTTTCGGTATGTTTACATCTGGGTAACTATCTTTTTTTTTTTTTTTTTTTACACATTTAGGTAACAAACTTGTTGGAAATGTTCACATATAACCATTATGACCTGCTATAGTAGGTTAAATCCTAGATGTAAACGATTTCAATAAGTTTGTTATCTAGATGTGTACAAAAAAAATAGTTATCCAAATATGAACAAAACGAAAAGTAAAAATTAAATTACATGAATGGTCCCTATGGTTTTGGGGAATTTGTGTTTTTGGTCCCTAACTTATTTTTTTTTTAACTTGGATGGTCCTTATTGTTTATTTTTATTGCGCGTTTGGTTCCTATCTTACCTAATGAGACTATTATACCTTATTAATTTATTTTTTAATTAATTTTCTTATTTATCTATTTATTTTTTTGTATATTTAAAAAATTAATAGACCACCCTACTGTTTATTTTTTAATTAATTAATTTTTTTTTTAACTCGGATGGTCTCTACTGTTTATTTTTGTTACGCGTTTGGTTCATGTCTTACCTAAAAATACTATTTCGCCACTATTAATTGTTTTTAATTAATTTTCTTATTTATATATTTATTTTTTATATATTTAAAAAAATTAATATACCCCACATATCTGTATCTCCTCACCGTAATCCTGAAACCACATTTGAAAATTTTAATTTGAGTCTTACCGATCATTTTCTTATCTCTCATCCTCCCCAACTTCTATTTCTTTTTCCATCTTTAGTAACATCAACGTTTTCACCATCCTTTCTTTTTTTGGTACTTGAACTCTAGCGAACCAACACCATAACCTACAGTCTCTTCATCATTAGTGCGTTGTGGTATTGATTCGACAGAGTTAAAGGACCGAAAAAAGAAATGATGATGAAGACGTCGATATCATTAAAAATGGAAAATAAATAGAAGTTGAGAAGGATGAGAGACGGGATGGCGAGGAGATACATATATGCGGGGTCTACTAATGTTTCTTAAATACATAAAGCATAAGTACATAAACAAGAAAATTATTTAAAAAAATAAATTAATAAGGACACAATAGTCTTTTTAGGTAAGACATAGACCAAGCTCGCAACAAAATTAAACAGTAGGGACCATCTGAGTTAAAAAAAATAAATTAATTAAAAAATAAATAGTAGGAGTCATCCAAGGAGATACAAATATGTGTGGTCTATTATTTTTTTTTAATATGTAAAAAATAAATACATAAATAAGAAAATTAATTAAAAAATAAATTAATAAGGGCACAATAGTTTTTTAGGTAAGACAGAGACCAAACGCGCAACAAAAATAAACAGTAGGGATCATCCAAGTTAAAAAAATAAGTTAGGGACCAAAAATACAAATCCCCCCAAACTACAGGGACCATTCGTGTAATTTAATTTTTACTTTTCATTTTGTTCATATTTGGGTAACTATTTTTTTTGTACATATCTAGGTAACGAATTTGTTGAAAGCGTTTACATCTAAGATTTAACGTGTTATAGCAGGTCATAATGGTTATATGTGAACACTTCCAACAAGTTTGTTACTTAAATGTGTACAAAAAAAAGATAGTTACCCAAATGTAAACATACTGAAAAGTTAATTACCTTCATAAATCATATTCCCTTTAAATTATTCAATGTTGGCAAGACACCTAAAATAGTTTATAACCTACCTTATATAAAGGTACGTGAAATGACGTATTGAGAAATTAGAGATATGAATAGATAAGTTGGCAAATGTAAAGGAAAATTTTAATTTTGTTTATGAGAAATTTTTTTTCATAACCCTATATATATATATATATATATATATATATATATATATATATATATATATATATATATATATTAGTTATTCAACAAATTACATGAATTTATTATAACAATGATGTGTCAAAAGATCAACATAAAGAATTGCTTCAATTTATTCAAATTTAAGCATGGAGTAGTTGATAAATTGACTTATGAATATGAAAATATTATTTCATCTTACTCAATTCTGAATATGAATTGTAACGATGTTATGGTTGCTTTTCAGAAATTTCTTGACACCAATGATCTTTTGAAGATTGTGAATGTTTCAAAACAAATAAAAATTTGTAAAAATTCTTCCTCAAATGATAAATCAAATCTGGATTACAAATTTGTTGATTTAAATGATAGTTGCACACCACTTTTTAGATAAAATGCCCAATTAAGGATATAAACATTTCATCAAGGTTACATATAAATCATCCCAACAATAATCCGATTTTAGTCATGTTACCCAACAATCGCTCAATTACAAGCACATTTCATCGGGTACTCTCACAACCCTCATTACTATATACATAAAAATAGCATTAAAAGAAAACCTTATGTTTTCTGAAGATTAGCTAGTTCAAAGAAGGCCCCTTTCTTGTTCTTAAGTTGATTATAAGTTCCTTGTTCCAAAACTTTCCCTTCAGACACAAAAGCAATTGAGTCAAGGTGTCTTATTGTATTAAGTCGATGTGCCACTACAACTGTAGTCCTTCCAACCATAATTCGATCCAATGCTTCTTGAACAACTTGTTCTGATTGGACATCAAGAGCACTTGTAGCTTCGTCTAGTAGTAAGATTATTGGGTTGCGAATAATTGCTCTAGCAATTGCTATTCGTTGTTTTTGTCCACCTGATAACTGTACTCCTCTTTCACCACATTCGGTTTCATATCCGTCTTTTAGTGCCCTGGATAGATTGTATATGTAAAAAAATAAGGCTTTTGTTTTCGTTTTTTTTTTTTTTTTTTTTTTTCATTATTGAGTCGTTTGTTGAATGAGTGAATAAGTAATGATGTGTATATGGATAAAATGTTGTTTCTAGATTGTGACTAAATGTTCATTTATCTTTATATTACAAAAAACAAATTTCATAAAAGTCATTGATTTTAACATGGGAGGAGTTAGATAAGTACAATGGTTGGTGTCTTAAATCTTTATACATGAGAAGCCACTTTTTTTGGTCTAACTCATAACTCATTAAATCATTATGTCTAAATTAAATTAAAAAATAATACAATGCAAATAAAAGCTTTTTATGTCAAATAAGTTGGGGAAAATCAAATATAATGTTGTAGAGGTTTTTCAATTAAAAAGCCTTTTTTACTTTTTTTTTTTTATTTTTATTTTTTAAATTTGTTTGTGTAGTAAAACTAACAAGTTTTGCGAAATTAACCTTTTCATAGTTTTAAATTTTATCTTTTATCCTTTAATTTTATTTATTATAAATAAAATCGTTTTTTTATGTTTAATATAATGTAAAATAGATATATAAAATTTCAAAACTTGTAAATGATATATTTTAACTTTATAACTAAATTAAAAAAAGTTAGAAATTTTCTGAAATTTAGGAATATATTAACATTTGAAAAACAATTAAAAATATATGAATATATTAACGTACGATCAATATTATATTTATTTGCGTAAAATATACTTACGAGATGAAAGTATGAGCATTTGCAGCTTTAGCAGCTTCAACTAATTCGTTTTCAGAAGCATCAACTTTCCCGAAAATAATATTGTCACGAATTGTGCCTGAATATAAAACAGGCTCCTGGCTAACGAGTGCCATATGCT